GCAAAGCCACTGCCATGCACAACGGAAGCCTGGGCCCTTACTTAAAATGGCCAAGATCTCGAACGACCAAGGCTCAGGTGGATTGACTCTAGATAACTCATGGCAACTCCCGCTGTGCTTTCTGCAGCGCAACTTTTGTGAGACAACCGCAACTCTAGTTCTTGAAAGGACGCAGTGAAAAGACTGAGATCAACCATAGTTGGCTCCTGGCCCAATCCACTCCACTTTGATTTAGACCACTTTAGTAGTGGTTGATGTAAATATCCAACTTCCACGCACCAAAAGCAAAGAAGAGGGGAAAGGTACTTCCTGCAAGCTTAGACATAGAGAACTCCTGAAGTTCCTGCACCCCCCCCAACAAAAAAACAACAACAACACAAACAAACACAAGCAACAACAAATATTGACCCCGGATTCACAAACCCCCGTTTATGAATCTGGGGGTGTGCCTGCTTTAGTGGTTGGATTTCTCCTTTTTGGAGGGGAACCCTGGCTAAAAAAACTGGGGTTGACGCATCTGGGGTGAACGAACGGCATTCCAAGATATTCCAAGGCCCTCGCCCCTGCCTCGAAGTGCTGCAAGACCGCGACATCTCGCTCCCAAGCGCCGCACAGCGCCGAGCCCGCGGAGATGGCGTTGCCCTCACCGACGACTGGGCACAACCCAAAAACCCCGGCAGTTTTTGAGAGCTTGGCGAGGTGAGGTAGAACTGCCAGTTTCCGCGTGGTTCAATCGTCACACGTGGAATACATGTTGTTGGCAACTACATGACTTGCCGCGAAGACCCAAGGCGTGACTTGTATCTGGGATTAAGCGGAGGTAAAGCGCCATGGTTTGAAGTAGCCGAAAGGAGTGACCAAAGTGACTTGCACACTGGTGACACTATTGCTCTGCGCCTTGAGTACCTTCTGTGGAAGCGAGATTGCGGATTGCACACAAATGAGATGACCATAGCTATGGTAATAAGCAAAGTTAGGATTTTGGGCGACGCCCGTGGGACCTCCTCCTCTTGTCCCTCGGCGTCAACGCGCCGACAACCCTGAATGGTGCCAAAGGTCCGTGTGACAGTCAAATCGGCCAAGCTGCGTGCATGTTTCTATGTCAACAAGCTCATGTTTTACGAAACATCCGCAACACTTTTTGCAAAGCCGCTCTCAGGATACTAGCAACATGAGTGACCCTAAATGATGACAACATGGACACCGACTCACACGCGAAGGACTCAAACAAGTGGGTGTTCACCCTTGCAGGATCCAAATACTATTGGCATCACTTGGCGTGGCGTGCGCGCATCGACCTGTGGAAGAAGGCTTGGCGTCTTTGCTGCTTCGCTTCCTGTTTGCCGCAAACTCCAAGGCTTCCTCCAAAGAAGCAAGCGCAAACATCATATCTCTTCACAACATCAATTTTAGAGGAGCTGCTTTTGGCGGGCCCTTCTCGGGCTCATATTAATTTGCAAGTAGTTGAGAAGCAATCCCTCGGGCGTCCACTGCCCAGCCTGCACCTGGTGAGATCTCATCATCGCCAGCCTCAGCTGCGCGGTTCCTCTGGCCGGCTAGGACAATGGGACTGCAAGCTGCGCACAGCTCCTTCCCAAGCTGCAGGAATCAAAAGGGCAGCCTGAAACTGGGAGGTGGTCCTTACTCCTGGCCCGCGCGGCTTTTCGCCTGACGCTGTCACCCGAGCGGAAGCGTACGAGCTAGCCACTCACTCGTCGATCCGAGCGGCAAAGACCCCACCAACTGCCAAGCATCCGAAGAGGCACAGGCCTTCAACGCCGAGCCGTAGGAAATCACCTGTCGCACATTGAAAGTGGGGCTATTTCAGGCATGGCCCGCAATTCTTCAAGGGTGGACTTTGTGAAGCACGCCCAAAACGAAAGGATCAACACCTAAAAGAAGAACCTGTTGCCTTTAAGGCGGCATATCTTAAAAAACTGGTGCGGAAAGAACTGCTATCTGGGCGCATCTCTCCGTAGCCCATCTTGGCACAGCTGCAGCAACAAATGCACCGCCGTTGCCCAGGCAGCCCGGAGGCATGCGATTGCGGCGTTGTAGACGATGAGGTTTGCTGCCAGGGGCAGGCAGTGGATTCGAAAGCAACCGTAGCAACATCGCAGCGAGCCCTGGCTTACATCTGAGCACACACACACACAGGGACTATCTCGTAAGCAACGTGCAAACCCTGAGGCACCCAATCAGCAGCACGTGTGCTGACCGAGTGGGAACAAGAACGCAAATCTGCAAACCAGTCTTAAGGCCAAACCAGTGAGAAACAGAAGTTCCTTCCCAAATCAGCTTCTGATCAATTGGTGGTTTTGGTGGTTTGGTGGTTAGGGCCAAACCAGGGCTTCAAATACAACTCCAATCCACCAATCCAACCCACGAAGCTGACGGTTGCCTGACCTTCCAATCCGCACAAACACAAATCAGGGCCTTGCGAGTTGGCAATGGCTTCCTCCAGCAGTGCCATGCCCTGCTGCCATTGCTCAGCTCCGCATGCGTGGATGCAAGCACCTCACCAAGGATGAATTGCCATGCCTGATGGACAGACCAAAATGGTGCTTTGTTGGTTTTGATCCTGGGCCTCCTGTGCCTAACGCCCGAGGCAATTCCCAAACTGGCAGAAGAAGGGAACTTCTGCAAGTAAGCTTGTAAGTTGCAAGCTGGAAGCCAAATCCCCACCCTCGAAAAGCCACTCAAAGAACTTTGGTCTTCTTTATTACAGACTTGCATGGGAAACCGAGAGCCCTTTTTTGAGACAGGCCCATGTGAGCCATGGTCAAAACCTTTTGCCGCACTTCCTGTGACGACCACGGATGTCGCAGCGGCCGCAGGGCTTAAACCTAGAAATTCTTCAGGCCAAAGCCGAGTTCTGAACTGCGACTGCGAGCGTTCCAACATCGGCACAATGGGACACGCAGAGCTCATTGAGGCGCACGCTCCAAGTCTGATTGGCACCACCCATCGCATGGTCTTCAGGCCATACCTTGACAGAACTGATCCAGGCGATAGTCACAGCTGGTGAGCTTTGGAAGCGAGTTTGCCGAAAGCAAGATGCGCGCGCTTGCACCATAGCGTAGTGCGGGTTTATGCGAACCTTGGCACAGTGTAACACGCGCTGCTCTTTGCGCCCCTGTCGCTACTGGCAGCCCGGGCCGATCAACCATTCCTCTCAGCTCTCTGAATTGACAACCCGAGGATGATCCAGTCTGCTCTTTGGCCTCAAGACCAAGGGTGAGACAACTACCCGGACACCTTGTTAAGAAGTGATTGAAGCTGATCCAAAATAAGGTCGCATTGTCGAATAGAATCTAAAATGAGCCAAGATTGAAGATCCTCTAATGCAAAAACGGTGCATTTTGCATGTTGAAGTGCCAGAGTGAGCAAATGGGCATGTTCAAGTGCCAAAGAGGCCGCCAGGCATGCGCCAAACACTTCGCAGTGCCGCGGCGGTTGACCCAAAACATCCGAATAAAACTACATTGAGTTGTGCCACGCGAAGAGATCGGCGCATGGTGGTGCTGTCCAGCGCGGACCAGAAATCAAGTGGAATAGACCCAAAAGATTTGCATTTGAGGAAACATTGAACATCGTCACATACGGTAGGACTGTGCGGGTCAAGGATAACATCAGAATGCGGAGCAAAGCAAAAAGGGCGCCTGCGAGGTGTCTTGAAACTCAGCCCCTTATGAAGTGTGAAGACACTGAAGAAGGACATATTGCGCCAATCTGCAATACGCGGCCAGGCATGGTCCCTTTAAGAGGAATCACGGCGGTGAAGGGTCATGAAGGATGCTCAAAATCGACGACCATCGCCCCCAAGTAAAGGAACCGGTCCGAAGGGGGAATTGGCCATCCCTAATCCCAAGTAAAGGAACAAAACAGGACCCATTTGCACCAAAATTTGTTTTTTATCCATTTGCACAAGCATTTGTCCGTCACAACGATGTGCAGAACATCTGTCCAAGTGACTGAAGGACTCTGGCACCACCCCAAGTGAAGGAAGAAACTTGACCAATTTTCACCAAATTGTCCGGCACAAAAACATTGCACGAATTTGTCAAAGTGTTCGCACCCCCATCCCTAACCACAAGCTAAGGGAACATATTTGACCCTGGCGCAAATCACGCGTCCAAGTCACTGAAGGAGCCAACCCCTAACCCGAAGGAACCAACAAAAACCCTGGCACCAATTTGATTTGACCAATTTGCAACAAAATTCTTGAATTGACCAATTTGCGGAGAAAAACAATGAATTGGCACCAACGATTTGCAGAGAAGATCTGTCCAAGTCACTAAAGGCCGCCGCGTCCGCTTCTCCCCGTAGCTCTCGGAAGAGGTGCAGCGCCCGGCGCCAGCTCCGCGCGGACCCGGCGGAGCGGATGGCGGAGGTGCAGCGCTTCAGGTCCATTCGCTCGGAAGGCGCCCGTCTTTTGCTTGGCTTTCAAGGGGAAACCAATTTTGGAAACCAATTTTTGAAGGGAAACCAACTTTGAGTTGTTTTAGTTATTCTCATTTATGTAAATAAACATTTTGGGGGGAGTTTTTGCTTTTGTTTTGGTTAAGGGGGCGGGGTCCACAATTTGAGACAAGCTTGCATCCTCAATATTTTTCCTCTACAGATTGACATGGAACCAACCACTAATTGCAGAGAAAGGTCCGATGGAACATTTTGAGAAGACCCATCTTTCGGGCCCCATGCTCATGCGGGGAGCACGTTGCGGTGTGAAGGGGACCACCCTTTGAGTAGTTCGGACTTCGAAATTGGGACCTTCTTGGCCCAGCGGCCTGCTGGAGATGGCAACCGGTGAATTCACATAGGATGCGCCAAGGCCCGGCATAAACCAACATGAGAAAACAGCAAACCAAACAACGAAGCATGAAACAAAACGAAAACAACACACCCAGAAGCCAGCAACCACCACCTAACCAAACCCAGTAAGATCCAGTAAAGCCTGACATGGCTGAGCATGCGATTGTTTCCATTTGCTCCCTGTCCTGAGAGCACCGGCACGTGGCGGACCTCAGGCACATTTGGTCAACTCGGGAACTGCCACTCTACTGGAAGCAGATGACTGCAACCAGTCAGGAACGCGCTCTTGTCTTAAAATTCACGGCGTCCCAGAACGGGGACCTTGACACATGCGCCTAGTGCCAGCCCCAAGATGACGAAAGATCACCTTCGGCCGGCCGGATGGCGAAAATTGCCGAAGGCGACGGAACTGCCACCCAACTCAACTGAGCTAATGGGGCCAAACCGATCAGGCAGCACTCTTGTCATCTCTAGTCTTCACCATGTGCATGGTTGCTGAGCACTTTGAGATGGGCGTTCAATGTTCCCTGTTTCTTATCCGTGCCCGCCCTGACAAGCGTCGAACGGCTTCTGTGAACTACTTCTCCGCAGCTTGCGCAAGTCGCATCCGAAGCCAAAACGGCTGCGAGCTAAGACTCATCGCTGAAGGTTTTCCAACACACAAAGCCAATACCCGCGAATCACCTTCAGGGCGTTCCCCCTCGAGCGCCCCACCAGCTGGGAGACATGGTGGCAGCACTGCTCCGACCTGAAGAACGCACAGCCCGGATCAGCAAAGCATATTGGCACGGCCCAGCGATGGATTTCGGTTGGTCTCTGAAAACATGGCAAGAAAGCGCAATGGACTTGCTGACGCAGGTGGTCCAACCAAACAGGCGAAAGTCTGACGGTCAAGCAGATACAAGTTACATATGAAGTTAAAGGCAAGCTGAGCTATCTCAAGCCGACTGGCAAACCCTTCAAAACATATCACAAGTTTGAGCAGCTCCCGTGCTGCTGCACGGTTGAAAACCTGTAGGAACCATTCGGGCTACACCGCCAGCCTTGGAAGTATACCTCCCATTGCGAAACGACGGCTGTATGCTGAGACACCGTTCAATATGGGGAAGGGTTGCCAACAGGCTGAGCGTTTCAGGAGGGGAGGGGCCCATCACACGAAGCCTCAAGGCCTTAGGGGCGCCTCCTTGGCTTATCCAGAGAGCTACCCCGCTTCCCTTGCAGATCCGTGGGCAATGGCGGCGAGGCAGCCACCTTTAGATCTGACGCCGTGCAGACTGCGCTGCACAAACCGTGTGACCGCGCAGCGCTATGCGTATAGCGCCTGGGGCTCAGACCACTGCGGCGTAAAGGCGGAGTCAGCATAGGCCTGGGCACGAAGGCTCTCGCTGATGCGCAGCCGCAACAATCGATCCGGCCCTTAGTTTGTGGGGCGTATAGTCGGTTCTGTTTGGTCACGCAAAACAGGATGCTTCGCTCAACAGGCACCCTCCTCCGAAGAGGGAGAGAGAGTGGGGAAAACGTGCATTGCCCGCGATTACGCGCCGTTGCCCGCAGAAAGAACCACATGCACATGATCGTGATTCAAGATACGCCACCAATCTGGCTCCAAATCTCCATACGGAGGAGAACCTCCAGCAACACGAAGAAGTAGAACGTGTGCCGACAGAAAGACCGCATCCGCAGCAAGTCTTTTTCGCTGGGGTGACGTTTTTGACCCCCCCCCCCCCCTCCAATGGAGAGCTACTGTGAAGTTTCTCGAAGGGTGCGCATTTGCTGGAAAAACGATGCAATAATTATCACCCACATCTTCCAAAGAGGATGTAAATAATTGGCTCCAGATTGAAGACTCTATATTTAAATTATTGGTGCGAAGGGAAATGCGAGAACACACCGTTCCGACGTGACACAGCAGTCAAAGCAGGAAAGAACTTGCACAACATATGACAATCTGGAAGTAGTTCGGAAAGCAATATGAGCTATCTGCAAAACTCAAAGGTGCAAACATGGAATATCTCTGGAGGCTTCGTTCTAAAGGGTCGCCTTCGTGTGACCGGGTCTTGGCCCCTATTCCACCCGAATACATGCCCTTGAGGCGGAGTATTCTGGGGATCCCTCATATGCATCCCAAAGGTAAGATTACTCGAGTACCTCCCATGTGGGTTGACTTTTCTCAACCCAAACCTGTGATTTGTTGTGACCCTCTGTACATAACTCCGGGGGATCTCTGCCGCATCCGAAGATGCGATCCGTTAAATCCAAGGGCCCCCTGCCATGAAGCGCAGCCGCAGCAGCACCTGAGAAGTCGAGGAGCGTGCCGTGTTTCAATTGGGCGTGTCTCTGGTGGGTATCTTGGGGTGGTTTGAGCAAGGCAAACCATCGTGTTAGCCATTTAAGACACAGGAACACCTGGCTCAAACTAGGCTTTGCCATGCATCTGTTCAAAAAAAATCCAAGCAAAGGGGTATGGTCAAAGGGCCGCCTTGATTGGGGAGGGGGTGGTGATGATGTTTGAAAATGGAACCGACGGGAGATGTTGAAAAAGGCGTGTCTGAACCGGTGGAAGCTGTCCCAACCCCAACGAGGCCAGGCAGTCGTTCGTCGTTCCCTCCACTCCTTCGCCCGCCTTCATCTCGTAGGTGAAAGTGATCTCCGAGCCAAGGCCCAACGCCGCGCTGCTGCCTGTGAACTATTTTGCGAACTCCTCGTCTCGGAGTTCGAAAAACGCTGGATTGGAACACCGGTTTTTGCAAATTTGAGGTGATCTTCCGAAGCTGCGGAGTGGAAGGAGAAGTGCGACCAGAGTTCAGCATGGCGCTTGCAGGCAAAGGTCCGATCCGTGGCCTGTGGGAAACTGATATGGCAGGTTTACAACTGAGCTAGCTGCCCTTTCCTGAAAAGAGGGCCGGAACACAAATGCTTGCAGAGTTAGAGCATGGCGCCAGCAAGAAATCATAGAGCAGTCCCTCCGGTGGCTGTGTGCAGCAAATTGGCAAAACGGGCGGAGGCCCGAACTGCCGGGCTGCAAACGTTTAGCGCCTCTAACCCTGCGCAATTCGAGCCGAATCGGCAAGTCGAGAAACTCATGGCCCACCACGAGGAACGGCCCCCAAGGAAGGCGTTGCCCAACGCAAAGCCGGATGATCCGCTGGGGCCTTTGTTCACAAGGCTGCCGTCTACCAGCCTCAGGTGGAAGCCAGCTGGCAGCTCGCGGATGTAACGGTCTAAACACCCGGGACTTCGTGACATGCTCGCTTTGTCTTGATCACGGTTCTGACAGCTAGTGCGAGCAAGGGGCATTTCATGCACGGGGCTTTAACCTGGTAAACCTTATATACTCAAGAACACATGCATGAACAAGAGCACTGGGAGACTGGGAGTGGACGTTGCTTGGCCGGGCTATCATGAGAATCTTGTCCAAGTCCCGGTTACACATTCCAGAGTGGCTTGTTCAAGGCTGAGGGAATTGAAAAACCTTCAGCCACCCTCTGACGGTGCAGTACGGCCAACCCCAAGGCTCTTTGTTTTGACAGTGGGCGCAAAAAGGAGGTAAGAAGTAGACCGTGTGTCAACGCATTCGCAACGTAACCGTGCGGTTGCAACATATGGAATGAGGGAATGCGCGCTGAACAAGTCTCGAGAGAAACGGACACCTTGCAGTCCCAGCAGCGTCGTCAAACCTTTCTCCACTGGCGTGATGGACACCCAATGGACGCCCAATAAAGAGCTTGTCTAACGACGAGGTCACTCTTTTCCAGACAAAAAAACAAAAAAAACTAGTAGGGAACGAGGGTCATCCGGTTTGCCCCTCCCTGGGCCGGCCGCAAGTAGGCGGAACATGACCTTTCCGTGGTACCAAAGTGGTCCATCCCTATGGATACTATGCTACTATATCGTGTTTTGTCATATCTCGTAGGTTGGCAATATGTTGTCACACCTTACCGGGTACCCTTGCAACGGAGAATGGGCCAACCCATCTCCCACAGGCCCCCCCCACAATTTGACCCGCGTCTGGGACACCCTCGGCCCTTCGATGCTCGGCTGCCGGGCAAAGGATTGGTCCCTGTTGCCAGCAGCGTGACCTCAGCCAGGCTAAGGCCTTGAGGCAGTGCGAAAAACGACTGGAGTGCCTGGTAAGTGGGTCAAAGTTGCACCCAACAAACTGTGCGTTCCTGTAAACCAACCTCAAAAAGTGGCACCCTTTTTAAACAACAACGCGCACACATGGTTTTTTCGGGGTTGGATTCCCCCCGCCCATTTCGCCATGAGGCCCGGGCGGCCTCCCCCCTCTTTGTCCAGGAGATCTGGCGCGATGCAAATGAACCCTGGCAACCGGCCAAAAGCAACCGAAAGATCACCTAACCCCTAGTTGGTGAATTGGTTTGGTTTGGACCTTGGCAGTGCCTCCCCATTTGGCACTGACAGCAACTGGGGTTCAATACCCCCAAATCACTCATCCAAACCACCAACTACTGGCATCTTGAGATGGAGAGAGCTGGGCTCAATACGTTTTAGGCCGGGCTCTGCAAGAACCACGCCTCCATTGCCTTCCGGGAGATGCAGGCACGCCTTGCACTATGGCCGGGAAAAGATTGCCATGCCGCGCCCAAACTGCAGGATATGGCTGTGGGTCAATTTTTTGTTGTACCCAACATGGGTTGCCCTGCTATCTTATCACCAATCTCTAGAATCTTTGACATGAAAGGGTAAATCCAATGGCCAGCAAATAACCAATAATAAATTCTGAAAATGAAGATTGCAAATAAGAAAATAATACGATTATACAGTTAGAAGGACATACTATAGTTCTATAATTGACTTCTTCTATCTCTGTCGGTTTCCAAATTATGTAACTCTCCTTTGCTTTCATCATGCCTTTCTCCTTTCCATGGAATGCCATTAACTAGATGAGAGAAGGAATATGGCATAGAAAAGAGAAAGAAGAAAGTGACCCATTCACCCGTCCAATCTTCAATGGTGAATGGGAGAGATAGGACCCACCGCTTCGCTCGGACAAAGGTAAGCACTAGATAGGTAGGGAAAGGTAAACGGACGCGTTCTTGGCAATGTGGGTATGGGTGAAAATTAAGCCAGAAAACCACTGGTTTTAGTCCATGTGTCCATTTACAAAAATATTTTTGTAATAAGTATTAAAAAGAAAGGAATATATCATAAAATAGTTAACAGGAAATAGAGAATGATTCTGTAAAATAATAGAATAGAACAGGTAAAAAGGTAAATAATTAAGAAATATAAATAACAGAGTTAGAAATATAAAGTTGAATTGAAAAGAAGAAAACTAGACAATCAAAAGAAAGTAACATAAAACAATTATAAATAACTATTAAACGACAAGGGATAATAGATAGTGAAAGAGCTAACATGATTTAGAAAGTGAATCTGTAAAATACTAAAATGGCAAATGTAAAACATGTAAATAATAAAGACATATAAATAAAAGAGTTAGACATATAAACATTGTTTTTGGTTGTTTTAACTATTAGATAAGGAAAATAAAGTAAACTAGACTAATTATAAATATTATACTAGGACAACTATGCGTTCTTCTAAGCAATACGTAGGATGAATAAACAGTTTTCATCTCTACATTCTAAATCTCTTTTTCCTTTGTTGACAATATCTTTTGCATATCTCTCGTTCATAACATGAAGAAGAAAGACTAGGCACTGGGGTTTGCCACCGGTTCCAGCCCTGTTTGACTCCTACCCCATGGACTCCAAGCTGAGGACCCCGGCTGATGCGTAGGTAGCCAAGCTTCGAAGATGGAGCCGTGGAAGTGCCGGCCGACCTTATGCCCCAGTGGGACTTTCAAGCGCCCCGGTCCGTCCGTGTCCTTTGCGGCCATGGCATCTCGCGTTGTGGTTGGTTTGCGGGGGAGGACCGGGTTTGGGACGAAGCCTGGAGGTGGATGGGAGGAACGCGATTCACAGAGATCCTCCGTTCAGCGTGGTTTTCATTTTGGGTGCTCTTCATTTGGGTTTCCCTTGAAAACAAAAAACGCGGAGTACCCTCAAAAAAGGACACACTTATTTGGGCTCTAGGGCAACGTGCCGCAGGAGCAATCTTTGGCGCGCCGCGAAGTGAAGCCCTTGAGTCGTTTCGAGGCGTGGTGCAGCTGAATCGCTTGATCGATGTCAAGCCTGCAGTTTGCAAGCCGAACAACCGCGTAACCACAAGGTGATAGAACTTGCAAGTCGTATTTCTGAAGGCATGTGTGTGTGTGTGTGTTTTATCTTGCTGGTGCTCAGGGAATGGGCAAGGGAACATCGAGAGGAACCATACCCCCGGACTCGGACAGCTCCTGAGGCCTTGGGCGCCCCCGCCGCAACGGAAGACTCGCCTAAACGGGGAGGGGGGGTCGGGTTTCCCCTAGCTTGGATCAGGAAGCTTTCCACCTAAGGCAAAACAACATGTGGCTTTTTCCGTTCCGAGATCCAGGGCTCGTCTCCAATTGACACACCCCACAGCCGCAAAGCGAGAACTGTTTGATTCCTCGCGAGCTGTTCGACTCCGTCACTCACTTTGCCCATGGTCGACCTACATTTAAAAACACGAAGCAACTGAACGTGCACCCATGACTCAAACCACCACAAATCTGCCGGCAGCATGTCATGTCACCCAGTGCTAGCCCCCCCCCCCAAAAAAGTGTTTCTTTCCCAAAAACACCTTACTATGATCAAAACAAAACAGATTCAATCTGCCCGGCTCTTCTCTGAAAATCGTGCTCCCCGGTGCCCGGTGACGCCGAAGCGCCGCCACCGAAAATCGCTCCACCAGCCTCCGTGAGGTTGCAGTGGCAGCCAGCGCCTCGGCGACGCTGGCAGAGAAGAAATCGAGCCCGGACCTCCAATTCCTGACGCGCAGCCTTCCTTGGAAGACGGCGGTTTGGGAAAAACAACTGCTTTCTGAGAATCCCCACTTTTCACGCGAGAGGTGTTTCTTTTCCGGGCTCAGTCAACCGTATGGCCCTGTGCTTCTGTTTGTGTGCGTGTGGGGGAGGGCGCTTTGAGAGTTTTGCCTCGGGGTCGAGTTGAAATGCCGGCCCTCGTCTCTCTTGCTTCTGCCTGCTATTGCCAAACTCTTCCTCTTGCTCTCATGTCTTCCCGAGGCAGCGACCAATTCCAAGACAAAGCCTGGCACGCGGGCTTCCCGGCACCCTGAAATTCAGGGCTTCCCAGATGTGTAAGCGTCACCAACCCCATCTCTGAAAAAAACCATCTGGTATCAAAGTTTTAGCTACTGCCCTGGTAGCAAAGCCGCTGTCTCCCCACCCCGCGTGCTGAATGCGAGCTCGCACATTGAGACGTGACCAACCGCGATGCGAGGTCGTTGTGTCACCGTCCGACATTTGAGAAAACATGGACAGCCATGGCCAGTGCGCTGCCAAGTTGCGAATGGATAAATTGGCGGAGTCAGAATGACCGCACGAATAGCCATGTGGCCAAGATCTGGGCAGGTCCACCGATTAAAGTGGCATTCACACGAGCATTATTGGAAAAGTAACTTCGGATTATCACCTTTCCCTGTTCCAACTGGACGATTGTGTCCACCCTTGCCGCAACTTGTACGAACTTTATCTACTTCCTCCAGTAGAGAGGCTAGAATAAGGCTACCAACTTCTCTTCATTTTTTTTGCTGTAGCCTATTTTAGCGGAATTCTCCCAACCAAGAAAGAAACGGGTAAAAGTTGGCACCTAGATCCAGCCGCCCGAGTTCGTGCGTGGGAGGCACGCCACGGCCTCTGTCTTGCAGCCACAGGAGTCCAGCAGCTCCATCCTCAGCCGCAAGCCGATCGAACTCGCCCGGGACCCGTCCAGAATTTTGCTGGCGCCGAAAAAAATATCGGCGGCGGAAGGGGCCAAGCCGGCCACACTTGAGAGTCCGAGAAGCCCAAGATGCGGATTGAGGTGGGGGATGGGCCATGCACTTGAGCGCCTTGCGGACTGCAGATTGCAGTGGGAAGAGGCGGGGACCCGGTCCGCTCCATGCAGTCCCCAAAAACGAACGCCCACATTGGAATTCCAGGGCTGAACTCCTTTTCAGAAAATCATTCCATGGGCTGGGCATTGGACCGTTTCTCGAGTTCCGAGCTAAGCCTGGGAGCCTGGCACGAAGAGTGGCCCATTGTAGCCCTGCGGCTTTAAGGACTGCGACCCCTACTAAAAGAACAGCTTTCCACTGCCCCTGCCAGCCCCTGAAGACAAGTCCACTTGAGCGATGTCCAAGGAACTCACCCAATCTTTGGAGACGTCAAACAAAGCTTTAGAACAATGGAGTTAAAACCAACGAACGGTATTCAACTGCTCTCCAGTTTGCGCGGAACGCTGGAGTTTGGTCGGCGCCATCTCCGGCCTCGCTGCTCAGCCTCAGGTTTAAAAAACGACAGGAAAGCAGCGCGAAGCTCAGATAAGCAACGAAAAGAAGAGACACCCATCTTGGTTTGGGAGTTTTAAATCAAAAATGCCAAGCCGCCCTTGTCAAATCCAAGTGGGCACCGTGACTTTCCTCTCAAAGATGAGGCCTAGCATGCGTAAGGATTCATCACCTAGGCGACGAAAACAGATCTGCCCGAGTCTTGGTGCTTGTCACCGGCAATTCAAGGGAGGTTGGGCAAAACTAATGACATGATTTCAGCTGGCGATTGTAAGTTCGATGAGTTCCATTCAGAAGGCAACGCTGACATCCTCAAAGAACACGAGAACAACTCAACGCAACCACAAGAGCAAATGTGTCGGGAATCTTGAAGCGGAGCCCCTCCAAAACAAGGAATCTGAAAGAAAGGTTCCCGGACCGATCTACGCTACAGTCAGAACACCTCATCTTGCTTCGACAGTCTGCGTGACTCATGATTCCGTTGATTTCTTTTACTGTCGCCTTCGGAATCTTGCCCTGGTCCACGTGGCCGACATGGCACAACGAATCGGTCTAGCATTGGTCTGGCATGCGGCTGCAGGATTCCCAGCGGAGCACTTGGCAGTTGACTCACTGCTCGGCTGGCATATGCAGCTCTCATTTACACCCGCCTGGCCCTGGGGCACTTCCGGCGTCTTAAAAAAGCTCGCGCACAAACTGCCGCTATGGGCTCACCCCTGTCCGCACACCAAGCAAATATACATATATGTGCCAATTTACGCACGAGTGCTTGCACATTCACACATGCGAGTGCATCATTTAATAACAGCCAAATGTGGATGCAAATGTAAACGGTATAATATATATATATATAGTTCCTTCACTGATAGGATTGGACACACAGTCCTGTATAGGTCACACTCCTGATTTTGGATTTTGGCAGGGATTCGCCCAGCTCACAAGCCTTTGCTGACCTTCGGCCCGCTGCCCATCTCAGTGCCTGCGCCGTCACCATCCACCCCCAAACCAAAAGCATAGAGCTCCTGCAAAGGCTCGGGCAACGTTGAAACCGCATTGCACCACGTGTCTTGAGCGAGCGACTGCGGAAACCATGCAAGACTCGCAGGGGAACCCTGAACACAAACCACACAACCGAGTTCTGAACAAAATTGTGAATGCTGTTGACCCTCTTGTGGGCCCAGCGAAAAATCCGTACTGTTTCAACCAGCAACTTAAAGTCAAAAGATCCCAGCAAGCCATCAAGACATCTCCCCTCCAAAAAAAAGTCCCAAACATAGCACTTGAAGAGATACCTAGAAGTTGCTTTTCCTCTTACTTGGGGATACCCTTTTGGCAGCTGCGTTCGAAGCCCTGCCCCGGCTCCTGCGGCCGCTTCACCACCACCACCTTGGGCCTCAAGGAGTCGATCCAGTCGAGGAAGGCCTGCCGCGTGTCGTCCCCCATCTTCCTCGGCGGAACCGCCGGGAAAGCCCCGGGAAATCCAGGGAACAAAAACCAGGGGCCGGTAGTGGACATCTCTGCTCTTCTTGATTTGCAAAAAAAGGGAGAAAGAACATCCCGCAAGATTGGTAGCTTTGCATCTGCAATGTGCATCTTTGCTGTCTCCAAGAACTGTGCTTCGCCCTACTTCACGCCTGAAGTGCCAAAGAATTGCCTAACATGCTCTTGACTTACATGGAAGGGTTGGGACTCCTTCCGCCCTAACCGTGTCTGCTGACCATGGCATGTGTAGGGCCCACGTATGCTCGCAATTTGTACCTGAAGATTGTCAAACCCAGCATTCCTTTGCACGCATTTTGGGCAGCCCACCCCTGGCGCCCCCACAATCACTTTGGAAGGCAAATAAGCCGGCGAGCTCACGCTTCTTCAAAGTTGCAGCTGAAGGGCCACCTTGCTCACACCAACTGTCACCCCTTCCATCATCACGTCCAAGCCTTTGCACTTTGTACACATGCCAACAACTACTTAGACAACAAAGAGGCGTTCTCTTGCAAACGGATGCTGAACGCTCTTGCTGAGGTCAAAGGCTGGCGGAGGTACCCATAAGGCCAAGCGTCGTTGGTCGCACGGCGATGTGTTGGAAGTTGTTGGTGTCTTTATCCACGGCCTCTACCACCACCAGTGCCTCAGCCTCTTGAGGGGGCATGATGTAGAAGCCTGGCGCGGTCATGGCGCCGTCAGCTGTTCACCCCTGGGCTGCTCCCAGATCAGTCTAACTGTTCGTGGCTTAGTGGAAACTACCACTGAACCCTAAAAACTTAAGAACCCAAGGCCGGAACATCCCAGTCGGGTACATGCCATCGAGCCAAATTAAGCCGGACCATGCGCCCAAAGTGCACCTCCAAGGCCCAGAAAAACCGCGCAGCCAAGGGTTTGTCGGAACGCTGAGTCAACGAAGTCAAGTTCAAAACCATTTGCTTCTATGTGATGGTTGGTTTGCGTTTCTGCCGATCCTCGTCCCATAAGCAGTAAGCCATGCTATGCACTGGTTTGGATTCGCAATCGGCCCTTGGATCATCCATCCCACGCGTGCAACTTCCGTGCCTGGGCCGTGCTTCTCGGAGGAGTGGCACAGGCACCAAACTGTCCACTTGGACTTGAACTGTGTGAGCGCCAGGTTATCCAGCATCTGACGCTGCTCATCATCTGCCTCCTCTTCTTCCTCAGCCCGGTTGGACACAACACAAGTTGGGCCTACGTGCTGGGCCCAAATCTGGAAATCCAATTGAAAAGTGGATATATATATATATATATGTTCACGGATGTGGACCCGCCCCCCCACCCCCCCCGCTGTGAGGGTGGGGTGTGGGTGATTGGGTGGGTGGGATGTGATTTAGGGTTGGTTTATAGGTGGTAGGGCTGGTTTGGGGTTGGTTTGGGGTGGGTATAGTCTTAGTTGGCTGGTTTAGGGTTGGTTCACGTTGGGCTTGGTGTGTTTAAGGGGGTTGGCAAAGAATTGGTTTAGGTTTGATTCCCCAGCAATGTACACCTTGTAGGGCACTGGTTAAGGATCTACTCCGATGCAGAAATAAGGATGTAACGGAAGAGGTCGAAGACCAAGTGTGTACGCAGCGTTTGGCTTCCTGATGGAAACAATATACAATGTACCACAATCACCAAAGCGCACTTGTTTCTCTATCTCAGAGAGTTGCAAGTCATGCACAAGCCTTGGGCCAAATGGCAGGCGGATTGCTCATGATTGGAATACTGTGAAGCAAGCACACAACAAACGAGAAACAAAGCAGACACAAATTTCGTTCCACTCATGGCATCATGACTTCCACATGGAATGCCGCAGAGATGGAATACTGCCACAGAGTGATTTTATCACTCGGCCCGACTCTTCTGATGACGAGCACTGAAGTCTGTGATGATACGTGCTCAGATTGAAACTTCTGAATATGTACACGAGTGAGAAACGATAGAAAAGGATTAATCCTAGAATCATGGTGAGAAATTCCGGAATGCCCCGACTGGAAATGCGGACATATTGGAAGCTTTGTCAATGTTGACCAGTAGAGGATGGTGCCAATCATTGTCCATCATGAGCTGTGGCGCTTGTATCGTTCTCCGGAGTTGGCCATGTGGTCAGGAAATATGTTTTCCCTCACGCGTCTGGAGTCTGTTGAATCTGCTTGCAGGATCTTGATCTTGATCTACGAGTCGCCTGCGGCCTGCCTCTGGTCGCTGGCCCAATGGAATACATAGGTTGCCAGGATCGAGGACACCGTAGAGGCTGTCCATCTCAATATTCTCCTTCTTCCCGTGGTTCAGCGCGGCTTGGATGCAAATTCTGAAGAAATACGGATATGGTCCATTGGAGTTGGCGGCGCGCTGTTGAAAAAGTCCACGATCCCTTCCATCACATGTGGAGGGCCGATACCTGTGGATGTTAGACCAATTGTTTCTTGTTCTTGTTGCGTGCGGAGTTTGCATCTCTGGTGACAATGTCTACCATGTGTTTCAACCCACGACTTATGAATCGTGTCATGTTCTCCATGACTACGTGACAACATAGCTGCGGATAGGTTCCACGCTAGCTGTCCTGTCTCCTCGCACGAAACATCAAAGTCTTGCAGCCTCCTTGGGTTAGAACCATGCGGGTATAGCCGGCCTGGATGAAGAATTGGTGAACAGTCGGATTGGTGATTCCATCAGCTTCTTGGAAACATAGTACGTGTCCGGGGTTGTTGCGGATCATACCCAACATGACGGAATCTTCCAGGCTGCCCTTCGTCTAGTTTCCCGGTAGACTGGCTGTCGCTCGAGGTTTCCAAGGTTCAAGGTGAGGATGTTGAGTCGGGTTGCTGAGGATGCTGAGTCGGGTTATTGCAGCGTCGGTTCTGATCCGTTTTGCCTTGGTTGATTGAAGAACATGTTGCAGCATCTCCAAATATGATTTTCGTTTCTTCTGGTTGTCGTACTCGCAAAGCTTTTGGATACCATGAGGTGGTCGAATGGGATATCCGATTTCCAGTTGATGGCTGCAAAGCTCCTTCCATGTCGCATTATGCTTGTCCTTCTCCGTGTGATATTTGTATTCTTCCTTTTCGTCCCTTGTGACGGAGCGGATACTCTCCACCTGGAGATTGGCAATCTTGCCGGAGAAGTGAAGCTCTGAGCAATAATCGGGTTCTTCTTGTCGGAAAGGTAGTTCACGTCTGCAAGCTGGTTCATGAGGTCGACTGCGTGTTCCTTCAGAGTCGGAGCCATTGTGGGGTAGTCTGCTTCTTTCATGTCGATTCCTTTGATGTATTCGGTGAGCTGCTGTGCAATTTAAGGGGGGGGCATCAAAGAGTGGTTCTTGGAGGTCTGAGAGCTTCCTGGTTCACCACGTTCCCGACTTGCTCCCGAATCATCGTCGTATTTCCAGCCGTTCCAATTTGTGCACTTGCTCCAGGCATTCGGCCAGGACGTTGTCCAGTTTTGTCGGGGCCTCTCCAGTTCGGAGCTTTTCTGGTTCTGGTCTTGGAAGATGAGGATCTTGGCTTT